ACTTGAGACAGATGTATGATCTCATTTGAACATGAGCAATATGAACACTGGAGCAGTCTCTCTCATTAAAGGAGCTTGTGTGGTTACAGGTTTACAGCAATTTATAATCTTATTTAATATTTGATCATCTCCTTCTACAGTATGTTTTATCCGGTGAACTTGGGATTTTAGGATTTTTCATTTGTTCACGACTGATGAACTGTTCAATTGTTATGTTAAAGACAATTTATGCTAAAATGTGTAGCTTCTTTTTCCTTATTTTCATTGACTGACCAGATGATAATGAAAAAAAAAACTAAAATCTTAATAGTCTTCTACTGAGGCGTCACGCAGTGCTGGAGCCATTTGGCAGAGATTACAGTGGAGATTTTATTTTAGAAGTCTGTCTTTTTAAAGAGATTGGGTTTTACTGTGGTATCCACATTTCCCATGCAGTAGTCGTGCTCTTTCGTGTAGATTTGGGGATTAAATCTATGCGTATCTATCTCCAGCATTAACTTGTCAAAAAGCACATCTTGAAAGTCACAAAAAGCTTATTTTTTGTGTATTTTTCCAGATTTTCACCAAAAAAATTATTTATTATGCGTCTCTGTCTGTCTTCCTCTCTGCGGTTCTCTCTCTCAGTCTGCCCTCTTTTCTCTGTCTGTGAACATCGCACTGCAATGAAAGATGTATTTTTGTGTTTGTGATCTGACACTGCACTGGTTTATGATCCTACCCAGGCGGAGGGAGAAACACCAAATAAACGACAAGGAAAAACTCCACTGAATAACTGAAACCATCAGGCTGAGAGCATCTATCTCTCCTGACACAGTGTTTCTAAAGTTTCTTTTATTACAACCCAATGCAGACTACGGTGATGATTATGAACACATCAGTATGGGGCCCTGCAAGATTATATCAAATCAAATCATGGCAAAAGGGGATTTTGTGCAAATGTGTGTGTTTACCATGGACGTGTCTTTAGCCATATGTGAGTCTGACTGTGTGTACATATATTTATTACATAACAGCTGTGCATGCATATGGGTTAGAGGCAGTTGATCAGCATAATGTGGGTGACAGCATGAAAACACGAAGAGGATTTAAACTAGAGGAGGGGTACTGAAAGAGAGTTGTTGTTGTTGTTGTTGTGTATGATTGTGTGTGTTACTGTGGGAGAGATTTGTGAGATTGTGCACGAGGCTGAGTTATGTGTTTGTCAGATAAGATTTGACAATAATCAACTAAACCAGAAATACAAACTGCCCAGGAAGATAAAACCTTTATTTATTTATTTGTTTATTTATTATGGCCAGTTTCCTTTCCTTTGACACTTGAGCATGTATAGACTCGTAGGGAATTGAACCTGGCCTCCTTGGATGGATTGACTAACCACCAGTTTACGATTCTCCTTGAATGAGTGTGAGCCCTCATGCCTCAAACTCACCGGTAATAACCAGAGTGTGTGGGATTCCCGCCTCGTTGAGCATTCGTTGGATGTGGTTGTTGTACAGCGTGAGCGCCTGTCCTTTCCCGCTCTGTGGATTCACCAGCAGCATCATACGGCACGGACGAGACAACTCGCTCATCAACACCCCTACAGAAAGAGAGAGAGAGAGAAGAAAAATTATGGCTGACTGCATCAAAAAGAGAAAGGGCAAACGGCTGTTCAACTAAATAACTCGAATCATACTGTGAAAACAGGTCTTAGTCTGCCAACAGAACTTGAAACTTGATTCTGAAACTTAAGCTGAGAAACATTTGTGAAGGAATAGAGGATAAAACACAGGCGAGCTCTATCATGCGGAGGAGTGTCCTCAACTACATTTGCATGTTGTAAGAGGAGCAAAAAGCTGCCTGGTTGAAACAACATTACAACATCTCATAAGGAGGAGTTTGTTTTATCTCTAAAAAGGGATAGTGGCTACAATACGGCCTTATCAACACATGTAATGTTAGGAGAGACCAGGCAGATACAGTTCTAAGAAAATAACCAAAACACCCCTAGTTCCTAAAGAGGAGACATACATAATATCCAGACATAAGTAGATACAGGATGAACATATTAGAAAAATAATGTAAGTATAATGTTATAATGAACCAAGCAGCTCCTCCCCAGCACACCTTTGTTTTTGGTCAATACCCTGAAGAAGACTGCTGTGTCAAAACGTTGGTAAACTACTGAAACAATTTTTTTTGCATTGTGGCAACAATTGTTTAACTGTTTTCTACACTAATTCCTCTGCATAGCAGAATAAATTCAAGGAGAAAACAGGAAAGGAGAAAGTCAACAGGCAGAAATAAAACGTGCCGTGGTTACATTCACTGCACTGACCTAATTACTGTGAAACTCAAATTTAAATTTATCTGAACAATAATAAGATCACTGCTCCACAACCCAAAAACATAGGGCTATTATACGACACTGTAGCCTGTAAAGTTTCTGTTTGGTTGTTTGTTTGTGAACAGCGACTTTTCTCACAGTGTGAATCTATCAATAGCTCACGGCTCAGCTTTGGAAACTCCAACCTCAGACTGATTTATTTTCAGTACTTGTGTTAGTCGTACTTTTAGATATAGATGCAAACATTATTCCTTTCATCTCGCTGCACTGCTGTGAAAGAAATAAAGTTTCTCCGGGAAAAGTCTGACTATGTTTGCCTGACTCCTTTCATTCCTTTATCTCAGTTACATAAACTAGCCTTTTCATTTACACCGGGTGTAAGGTTTATACAGAAAGAAAATGATAAATGATACTGATAAACTGGTTTCTGAAGTGTTGCTTGGATCAGAGACACAAAAGCCACAGCAAGGAACATTTGTAGAGTACGGAAGAGCAGGAAGGACACACAGGAATCTGTATCAGTGGACCCTTATCTGAAGAATTTAATATATTCTGCAAAAATAAAAAAGGAACCACCACAGTACAAGACGGGGATATGATGGTAAAATGTCTGTATGACACAACATGCACTGTCTATTTGTATTTTCTGCATATAATATATAGTGCATTACCTCATGTAATATGTAGACACATTTCTGGTCTGGTATATAGTATGTAGTATTTGAAATACAATTAATACAAAGAATTGACAGAATATTTTTGGATACAAACAACAACACACACACACACACACACACACACACACACAAAACTAATCTTACATGGCATCTAAAGATGGACGAGTATAGAAGCTGCAGCCTCTTTGGTACATTTTTAACTGCAGGGTTGATGCAAATTAGTGTTCAAACAGGGATCAAACAGATTCATTACACAGATCCCAAATCTGTTTTAAAATACTATAGAGATTACAGTCTCTCACAAGCACAGCATGGGGCTAAAGAAGGGAGGAACTGGAAGAATCTGGTTTTGCCCTTCTGTGCCAAAATATAAATAAATATGAATTATTACTCGATGTCAGAGATGAGACGGGGAGAAACTAAAAAAAAAAAATAGATATATAGATATGATGGAAGTCAGAGTATCAAACTGTGCTCATGTTAAGCTAGAGGTTCTGAGAGAGGTGATAAGGAAGATAAGGAGATGGTATCACAAATGTTAGAGAGAAAATTACACCACGGGTTCTTGTAAGAATTCTTCACCTCCCTACAAATGTGGAGCAAACTACTTATCAATTCTCCTTTTCCCTTTCTCCCTTAAAGTATGATTTAGTTCTCAAGATAGGAAAGTCAAATAAAGGTAGTGACGGGAAGCCATCAGACATATTTCACACACTGCAGCTGTGGGATCATTTTACAGGTAGGTACACCAAGTCCTCTCTTTTGTAGAAAAGCACACTCCAGTTAGATGTTTTCTATGTCGAATTTCTTTAAAGATCAAAAACATTGTGAGCGCGGAGGAAAGCGAACCATCCAAACAAGTCTGACAGGTAATAGATAAGTAAATAGATGAGTGCCTCTGGGGACAGGCACATCTAACTGGTTCAAAAACTTCCCTGGCAGAGTTCGTTTTACCGCACCTCCAGTTGAGTCACAGTGACACTGCGGGAATGCAGTGAAACAGGTCAGAAAAACCCGTTAAAGCACCTTAACCTACTTATTCATCTGTGTCACTGGAGTTTGAGGTAAACTGAGGAGTCATCCGGACATTTTGTTCTCGGATAATCCAAAATGTAACTGAAAGGCTGTTATCACCTCAGTATTAAAACTAAAACTAATACAGCCTAATACAAACAGTCCTGCAAAAAAATGCTCCCTTCACAAAGGTCGTTGTGTTTCGTTTAAACATTTTGGAGACTGAAGTTTGTGGTGTTGTGGAAATGTGGAAGACATGCCTGATTATTTAGTTTTCTTCTTATTTTTCCCCTCTCGTGTTTTTTTTTGAGAGCTTAGAAACATCAATGTTGTTAATAATGGGAGCACAAGTGAACAACGGTGGGTGGTATTTTTTAGTTTTTTTGATCCAATGCATCTGGCAATAAAACTTTCTGGTGTGCAAGAACTTTGTAGTAGGGCACTGCAATTTGTAAAAATTAAATTGTACTACATGTCCATCAAAACAACAGTTAATTCAGTATAAATTTCAGTATAAATTCAAGTATAAAACAACAAATTCAAATTTCTTGTATCGTCGAGAAAAGGCATAGCCACTTTTCTCTGTAGGATGAATAAGTCATCTCAAAATCACAGCGACTGGACTCCTGAGGGAAGGCCACACAAGTGCCCTCATGAATCAACTGGCATGGCAGCTGGCACTGAAGCCCCTGACCTTGCTGTCTGTGTGCCCCAACACCCACACAGACCTTGTTGGCTAATTCCAACCCCATGCCACTTCCTGTGTGCCACCCCTCCCCTTCTCAAAACATTCCAGAGGGCACTATCTATCTTCTCGTCTCTGTCTGTCCACGCTCCGGGTTTCCTCCTCTATCATTAGTGCGTCTGCAGCGATATCATGGCAGGGAGCCAAAGTATGACATACATCTAATAAGGCACATTAAAATCAACAGAAACACTAGGAAAATATACTTTACAGCCCTCGCCAGTCTATAAATAGACATCCGCCATGCTAAACGTTCTGCAGTGGATTTGTTAATGAAAATTTCGGTTATTATTCTTCATTGAGAATTGGTGGTTTTTAACTGCAGATAATATTTCTGGTCTGTTTGTAAAGGGATGGGTGTAGTCCTGATTGTTAAGTGATGACACACATTGCTACTGATGAACATGTAAGGTCAAAGACACATATTTTTATCCAGTCTTGTGGTCACAACAGTGCTGGTTAGTTAGTAAAGATTACGACAAACAATGATGACAGAGCTGAAACAGACATAATTGCTCAGACCAAACAACTTCAGTAAATTACCGTCTTGGATGAAGTGATAAAGTGGATGACGCTACTGTAGCAACCTAACTTAATCATCATCCTCACGAAGATGAAAAACAACTACAGCAACAAAGCTCTGCTCTGCATCTCAACTACATTCACTTGATCTGTGATTACAGACGTCTCATCTGCTCTCTTCAAACCAAAAGCATGAGAACTGTCCCAGATCTTAATTGAATAATTACTACTGAGGTATTCGCCGTAGGAAATGACAGCCCAAACGAAAGGGAAAAACCCTGGAGCCGGAAAAAACACATTTTCCGGCAAGGTTCCCTATAATATCTGGGTGCATATAGAGTCTGAGAATAGACAGCTTTCTTAGCTTCGCCTGACAACTCTGCAGTACATCCAGCAGGATGTCAGCTTCTATTAACCCGACACAGAGATGAAGGTTTATTATAAACATGTTGCAAAAAAGGGCATTTGTTTACATATTTGTTTCATTAATATACAACAGCATTATATTTCTACAGCATTTCTATTTAATCATGTCCAGACATTTTACATGTAACTGTATAAATACAAACATTACTCAGCGTTATTATGTAAAAGAATAAAATTAGCCATGAACTTACATCTCCGCTCCCGCTATCAAAAGCATAATCTTTACTTGACAACTAACACTGACTCACTGTGATAACCTGTGCATGAGTCAGTCAGTCAGTCAGTGTCTCACACAACTTCCTTCAAACCAGCTCCCCATCAGCAGCATGAATGACAAAGCATTAACTGTGGGAATTAAAGTAGCAATCTTTCATCACTCTTAACTTGGCCCACACCACGTGCCACTCAGACGGGACCCGTCCCGCTCTTAGTCATCAGGGATTCAAAGGGTGTGATCACATCAAAGAGCAGAATTACAAGCAGCCAAGTCAGATAAACTGTACAAATCCACAATATTAATTAATAAAATGAACTACAGAAGTGTCACTGGCAACATGGCTGCAAAGCCACCATCAGTGGCGATTACGCCTAAATAAACCCCCATGTTAACACTAATACAAATGATCTAACTCATTTAAAAGAAGCTATAGATTGTTTTTGTCTGATCTGTTCTGGTCCACTAGCAGAGATATGGATCAGTGTTTTTATGAGTGGCCTCTATTTGGTTTGTTTTTGTACACATGCATGAGGATGTGGGTGACACTATACACATTCCTGCCACTGTTCCACTGATCTACTGACACCAAGGAATGCAGAAATGTGCCAGTAAAGGCAGTGAAGATGAAGACAGTAAGCTTGTGAACATGAAT